ACCTCGCCCTCCCTGCCCTTTGCCCCGCCAGTCTGCTGGCCAGGCTCGCCATCCGTCGGCGGCGCGCCGAGCGCGGCCGCGGCGGTGTCGGCCGTGTCGCCAGGCGTGGCGGCGGGGGGGATCGTCGGCGCCATCGTCGCCGCCGCCGACATCGATGCTCGAGGATTGTTGTGGGCATTGTCTCAAGCAGTGGCGAAGCGTCGCGGCTCGCCTATAGCCCTACCAGGCAATGTTCTGAGAACTTTTTTGTGGTTCCCACGACATGTTCTCAGAACATTCCTGGCGAAGGCTGTCTTGTTTGAACACATCGGGGTCATGTTCTAAGAACACGGCTTATGTTAGTAGAACATTTTTGGGTTCTAAGAACACTTCGTGGTAGGACTACAGGAATGCCGGGACGGTCGGTCCCTGCTCAAGTTGTCCCGCGAGCCGAAGATGCCGGAGGCGAATTCCGCTTCGAACTGGGCCCACGTTGTGCTAGGCCCACGCGGCAGGTCTTTCAGGTCTCTCAGCAGGCCCCCCGGCTACGGTATTCCGTCGCGTTGCAGTAGAAGCGGATCCGGACCGACCTCTCGGCTAGCGGCCACATTTCGCTCGGGCGACACAGATCTGCGACGACTCGAGGGAGAACCAGAAACTCGAGCAGTGGCGAAGCGTCCGGGCTTGCCCACAGGCACGACGAAGAGTGTTCTAAGGTTTTGTTGATGTTGTGGTCTGCACGAACTGTTCTTTGGACATTTCTGGCTGAGACTGTTCTGTTTTAATCACATATGCCGATGCTCTTGTTTTCGTTATGAGAAGATGTTTGGTTTCTAAAGGCATTGCGTGGTAGGCCTCTGGGAATGCCATGACGGTCGGTCCCTGATCAAGAAGCGGCCCAAGCATAGATTTTCAGAGAGTTGCGCGCAGATTTCTTGGATCTGTGCTGGGTCCCATGGGCGGTGCCTCTGGCGCAGCCCCTGGCGCGATCCGTGCACCAGGGAGGGGGCGAGCGTCGATTCAAGACATCTGCGCGGACTTCCGAAAGTGTATGTTTATGTATTTGCTCCTGCTAACGATGCGATCTTTTCCCAGCCGTCCTGTGGTGTACACGTTTCGTGGCACCATGGAGAGCCCCACCGAAGGAAGGCCCAAGCGGCAGGGTTCGCATGGCGACGCTACACCCATTTCGGCACATCGTTCACCGTTGTTTATTTGTTTATTTGTGTGCTTGTGTGTTAGTTCCCCAATCAGAGCTTGCCTCTGTAGGAGTCCTAGCGGATTCATATGGTTAGGTGAGGTGTGTCACCGATTTCCGCGGCCCGCCCGGGCGCCCGGGTGCCCGGGTGCCCGTGTGCCTTATAGCCCTATAGCCTCACAGCCCTATGGCCCTGTAGCCCTATAGTCCTATCGCCATATAGCCCTATAGCCCTATACCCCTGGAGCTTTATAGCCCTATAGCCCCATAGCCGAATAGCCCTATAGCCCAATAGCCCCAATCCTACAGCTCTATAGCCTTATAGCCTTATAGCCCTATAGCCCTAGAGCCGCACAGCCCTATAGCTGTATAGCCCTATAGCCATGTAGCCTTATAACCTTAAAGCCCTATAGCCCTAGAGCCCTATAGCCCTATAGCCCATTAGCCCTATAGCCCCATAGCCCTGTAGTCCTATAGCCCTACAGCCCAATCGCCCAATAGCCCCATAGTCATATAGTCCTATATCCCTATAGCCCTATAGCCCTATTGCCTTGTAGCCTTACAGCGCTATAGCCCTATAGCCTTATAGCCCTATGGTCCTATAGCCCTATAGCCCCATAGCCCTACGTACTCGTAGCCCTATGGCCCTATAGCCCAATAGCCCCATAGCCCCAGAGCCCGCCCAAGCGGTTGCGCCCGCATGCCGCCGCCACCCCAATGTGGCGCACCCTGCGCACATTTCGTGGCCCCTTAGGGAGCTCTATCTCTGGCCCCGGTGGTTGCGCCCGCATGCCGCCGCCACCCCATGTTGCCATGTTGGCACACGCTTTACACGTTTTGTGGCGTCATAGAGAGCTCCACCTAAGGCCCTAGTGGTTGCCCCCGCATACCGCCGCCACCCCAGTGTGGCGCACCCCTCACACGTTTCGTGGCTCCCGAGGAGCTCCACCTGAGGCCCCTGTGGCTGCGCCCGCATGCCGTCGCCACCCAAGGTTGGCACACCCTTCGCACGTTTCGCGGTCCTTATCCAAGTTTGGCGCAACCCCCACACACCCCGTGGCCCCATCGTGAACGTTACCACAACACCCTGTGGTTGTGCCCGCATGCTGCCGCCAACCCAGTCGACACACCCCTCACACGCTCCGCGGCCCCATCGAGAGCTCCACCAAAAGGCCCAGTGGTTGTGCCCGCATGCCGCCACCAGCCCACTTCTGCACACCCCTCACACGCTTCGTGGCCCCATGGGCATCGGTTGCACCCGCATGCCGCCGCCACCCCACTTTTGCGGACTCCTCGCATGTTTCGTGGCCCCATCGGGAATTCCACCTACAGCCAGATTTTTTGCGCCCGCATGCCCCCTCCACACCAGCACCGCACTTTGGCGCATCCCTCAGACGTTTCGTGGCCCCACGGGGGGCTTAACGCAAGGCCCTTGTGGATGCGCCTGCATGCCCTCCCCACAACACTTTGGCACGCACCTCTCAAACGTTTCGCGGCCCCATTGGGAGCTACACCTGAGGCTCTAATGGCTGCGTTTGCATGCATTCTCCAGACAAGTTCGGCGCACCCCCTCACACGTTTCGTGGTTCAACTACAGTCAACCCGCATAGTAAGGCTGGGCAACCTTCCCAAGGTTACCCTTGCGTCCTTGTCTCCTCGGTCCATCCTTGGCCACTTTCGTTGACCGCGCCCCGCTCGGAAAACTTCGAAATGAGTTTCCGAGGCCCTTGCATCCTTATCACGCATACACGCCGGTCGTTGAAAGTAGGTATTTTTGGATTCCCAGATCCCAGTCTACCTCGGGCGCCCTCCTACTTCAAGAATCGGCATGCTTTTGCTGTTGTTCGTTATTCTCTGGGAGGACCTGGACCCGATCCACTGTATCCGCCTTCCTACTTCGTGTTTCCACCTATTTCTTCCGACCGGCGTGTACTTCCTGTACGGGTGGACTGCCGGGAACTCCAGAGCACGCCGCGCCGTCAGAGTCCGCATGCGCCACCGGCCCCCTTCGGACACCATCCCCTCGCACGTGGCCCCCCTCGGGAGCTCCGCCTGAGGCCCCCCTGGCAGATTGCGCGTGCGTCACCGCACCCGTGTCGACACACCCCTCACACGTTTCGGCATCGTTTGACCGATCCCCATCCCCATGCCCATCCCCTTCGAGACGCCCACCAAATTACCACCCCAGTTGGGGATACACCCCTCGAAGCCCGACGGGAACGACCCATATCCCCATCTAGGGGGGTGCATCGGCCAGTGGGCCCAGGCCACGCCGCTGGGGATGGGGATCGGTTAAACGATACTCAACATTTCCTGGCCCCATTCCATAGGTAGCTCCACCGAAGGCCCCAGTGGCAGGAATCGCATGCGTGACTGCGCCCAGATCGGCAGAAATCGCATGCGTGATCTTGCCCATCTCGGCACGTGCCTCGCACGTTTTGTGGTAACACAGGGAGCTCCTCCAGATAAGGCCCCAATGGCTGGAGTCGCATGCGTGACCGCACCTATTTCAGCACTCCCCTCGCACGTTTCGGGGGCCCATAGGGTGCTCCACCGAATGCCCCATCGGCGGGAATCGCATGCGTGACCGCGCCCATTTTGGCAGCCCTCGCACGTGATGTGGACCCATACAGAGCTCCACCAAAAGCCCTGTCGCCTGCTGTTCCCCAGACCGCGCCCTGCTGCTCTCCAAGGTCAGGCCGACAGACGGTCAGATCAGTCTGGCGGGTTACACTGAGATAGAACCCGTCGCGGCTGACCCATACGACCCTGTCAGCAACGTCGCCCCGTTCTTCTCCCCACAGGGTCATGCATCTAAGGTCTTTTCACAGCGTGGACCCCCAGATGTCTGGGCCTCTTCCCGGGGACGAGCTCTTCGTCCTCAGCCGCTCCGCTGATTGTTCTGATGCCCAGGAGAGGCCCCCGGAAGCCAGAGCACCTGGGGGTGGCTCTCCGTCGCTGTTTTCGTTGCCCGTCGCGAGGCGGGGCGGCCTGCGCCAGCCCCCTCCCCCCGGCGCGCCGCCGCGCCTCACTCGCATTGTCGCCCGGCCGTTGCACATGAATCTTGCCTCTTCCGAGTGGCAGTAGAAGTCTTTCTCGGTCTCGCATCGTTCTGCAAGATGCTGTTGCACGAATGCGCGGCGTTCTCGTCGTCTGGTCGCAGGGCGGTGTCGACCTCGGAAGCCGTCCTCTGTCCGTGCGACCCTCGGTGGGTCGCACGTGAGTTGGCCCAGGAAGGAGTGTGCGGTGGGGCGTCGGATGCCTCGGCCTGAATGCAGTTCGGGCCGCAGTCGTCGCAGGCGGTCCGCGGTCGTTGCCGCTCACGGGATGCCTCGCCGACCCCCCTGCCGCCGCCGCCGCCGCCGCCGCCTCCTGCTCTGCCGCCGCCGCCGCCGCGCCCTCCCTCGCTCTCTCGCCCCCTCCCCCCCTTCGGCAGGGGAGCCACCGCCCTCGGCCCTCGGGCGCCGAGCCCGGCTCCTCGGCGGCGGCGGCGGCGAGCCCGCCCCCCCCCCCCCTCCTCTCCCCCTCGCGGAGAGCGGTGCAACCCTTCAGTCGGGCCTGTCCCTCCCCAGGAGGACGAATCAAAGATAGCGACAAAAATGGCCCGGGGACGGTTTGTGGATTCTTGTTGGGCCTGTCTGGAGCATTCTGGGGGTAGCTTTACTCTTTCCTCCCAAATCCCCCTGTAGGGAGGGGGACAGGCCCGACCTGATGCTGCCCTCGGCCCTCGGATGTTGAGCCTGCACCCTCGGCGGCGGCGGCGGCGGCGAACGTGCCCCCCCGCGGGGCCCCGGGCCGCAGGAGCCGGAGCAGCCGCCGCAAGGAGCGGCCAGAGCTCGCCGCGCGGCGCGCGCGCGCGCGCCCGCCGCCGACGCCCTCTGTGCGGGCGTCGGCGGCCTCAGAGGCCCAGGCTCCCCAGAGGAGGAAGACGTGCCGATGCCGATGCCGGTGCGCCGGCCCAGCTTTCGCCCTTCTGGGGGGCCTCTCTGGGAGGCCATCGTCGCCACAGCTGGGATCGCCACGAGGTGCTGGTCAGAACGCCACCCAGGAGAGGTCTGGGGGGGTGGTATCAGTACCTCTGGGTTGCCGCTTCACTCCACACCAGGGCGACTCGCCTTCGGTCGGGCCTCTCTGTCTACAGGAGGAATGTTCCCAAATAGCCAAAAATAGTCTGGGACTATTTTTTAACATTTGTTGATCATGTTTGAATATTTCTGGAGTTTGTTGTATCTTTCGCCCAGAATCTCCCCCTGTAGGGGGACAGGCCCGTCTTAAGACTTGCCGACTGGCCTCTCGCCATGCTCCTGCAGGGGAGGAGCAGCCACACACCGCGGGGGCTTGCGCTCGTCTTGCACGGGCTCCCTGGCATCGCTCGGACGTGTGTATGTTTTTCTCGGCGAGGACCCTTGAGGACCATCCTGGACCATCGAGCACAACAAAAACACGCACGACACCGAAACATGCACTGGAAATGGACGCCCGAGCGACGGCAAGGCTCCGCATCGGCGAATAGCCTTGAGTCGGGCATGTCCATCTGCAGGAGGAATCTTCAAAAATAGTAAAAAAATTGCCTGTGGACGATTTGTGTTAGCATTTTTTGACTATGTTGGGGTATTGTTTTGACAAATTTTCATTTTTCGTCCAAAATCCCCCTGTAGTGGGACACGTCCGACTTGAGAACAGCGTCCAGTGGCCCCAAACATCCGCGCGCACCGCGCCCAACAGCGCCGAACAGCGCCAGATCCAGGCGGGCGATTCGGAAAATGGGCTCGATTGTGCCGACATCCGTGCGTAAGCTGCCCGCGTAAGGTCACGTGTGAGCGCTCTCCTCTGCACGCGGTGTGCCACGCTGGCGGCCCGCGCAAGCCGCGGCGCAAGGTCGCAGTGCCGTTCTTGCTGAATACCCGCTGCTGACTTTTCATCGCTCAGATGGTGATCGATAGCGCCATGCGAAAGAGCTGCGTGGCGTTCGATTTTCCTAGCTACAGTTAACCCGCATAGTCGAGAAGGATAACCTTCTCACGGGTACCCTTGCATCCTTGCCTCCTCGGTCCATCTTTGGCCATTGTCGTTGGCCGCGTCCCGCTCGAAAAGTATCGGCATGGCCTTCCAAGGCCTTTGCATCCTTACCGCGCATCCTTATTATACGGGTTCACTATTAGGTGTTGTTGGACTTGCTATTGGGCGCCATGGGGACGAGCAGCAGCTTCTGTGAGCTGCTGGCTAGGAGACCACCCCTCGGCGGCGAGCGAGGGGGGGAAGTTAGAAGGGGCGGGCCTTCTCAGAAGGCTCGGAAGTCCCCCGGTCTTCTGAGACGATCTCGAAGCCTTCCCCGAAGACAGAACAACAACTTCTCAGAAGGCGCGAGGGCTTCTGAGAAGTCCCGCCGCCTTCTGAGAAGGCCTTCTTCTCATCCCCCTCCTCCGCTCGCCGCCGAGCAACACGCAGGCCCCCTGCAAGCGAAGCCCCTCAGAGCACGCACCCGTCGGGAAAAAGGCGTCGAGCAGGGCGGGACCGCGCGAGAGAAGGCCCGCCGCCTTCTCGGAAGGCCTCCTCCTTCTCGCTTTCCCCCCCCTCGCTCGCCGCCGAGCCCCGGGGCCCCCTTCGTTGACGTCGGCCGCGCCGTCCTCGGGGGCGCCCTCTCTCGCGCGGCCCCGCCATATGCTCGACGCCTTCTTTTTCCGACGGGTGCGTGCTCTGAGGGGCTTCGCCTGCAGGGGGCCCGCGTGTGGCCCGGCGGCGACCGAAGGGGGGGAAGCGAGAGGGAGGAGGCCCTCTCAGAAGGCGGCGGCACTTCTCTCAGACGCCCTCGCGCCTTCGGAGAAGGCTTCGAGAACTTCTCAGAAGGCCGGGGGACTTCCGAGCCTTCTGAGAAGGCCCGCCCCTTCTCATTTCCCCCCCGGGCGCGCCGCCAAAGTGCGGTAGGACCGAGGTACAAGGTCGAGGTCGGTTCGGGGAGGGTGCCCTGATGCTCTTTGTGCTTGTTGGATGTTCTTGTACGTCGTGGGGGATGGTACCCTCGAACGTTTTTTTGTCAGTTGGGCTGGTAGAGGAGTCTCGTATCCATGGAGGGTGTGTTTCTGTCCTGTGTCCAGTCGTATGAGGGTGTTCCCTTCTGACCTCTCATCTAGAGGGGGCACGGAAGCCTCACCAGGCCAAGGAGGAGAGAGTTTTCTGGGGACGGCTGAGGATTCCTCCCGAAGAAAAGCCCCAGCCGAGTCGAGGACGCCCCCTGTTCCTTCTTCTCCGCTCCCGCGTCGTTCTGTCTGTCTTCGTTTCGCTGTGTGATGGATGGTGAATACTCCGTGAATCTCATGCATTCGAGGTCTCAACGGCCGTCATGTTCTAAGGGCTTGCCCTGGAGGGCCCTCGTCTCCCCGGTGGGATTCGCCCCGAGGTCGTTGTTGAGGACGCGCTCTGGGAGAGGCCCAGTGGACAGCGGTATCGGCATCTCCTGGCCCCCACGTGCGATGCAAGGCCAGATCTTTCCCTCCTGCTCGGTCTGCTTCGGGCAGTGTGAGAAAAAGGGTGACCACGAAGGGTGTCACCAGCTCCTGGAAATCGATCGCGGAGGAGGGAGGACCGAGGATCGAGGCGGTTTGGGAGGCTTTTGGGTGCCTTCTGGAGTCCTGGGGGATCCTGGGGGGACCCGGGGGCTCCGACTGTTGGAGGAGTTGGCAACTCCTTGCCCAGACATCCGACGGCATGATTTTTCCCATGCGCGGCCCCATGCGTTCCTGGACAGCTCCTCGGAAAGTTGAGAGGGTTGCAGATCAGAGGCCGGCAGCACAGGCCAGCCCCGGAGGTCGTTCCAGCGTCAGGCAGGTGTCCCCCCGCGGCGGCTTGCTTGAGTTCGCAGCGCGCCCCAGAAACGGTTTTCCTACCGGTTCCCATGACTTGTGCCCCAAGATCTTGCGCAGCTCCGTCGGAGCGCTTCCTGGGATCCTGCGAAGCTTCTTTGTCGAGCTTGGAAGCTGCACAGACATCCTTTCAAGCCTTTTTGCAAGCGTCTCCCACAAGCTTCACGCGTCTTGGACTGCCCCACTCTGCGGGTTTGGGACGTCACAAGTCCCGACTCTTCCCTGGGGCCAGTTTTTCGCCCCATCCTTTCTTGATGGCCCTAGGGCCCGATAATGGGCCCCAGAGGCCCGAATCGACGAACAACGCCAAGAATGACAAACTCATATCGTCGGCGATCTGGTTAAATGGTGTCCCCGTGACAGTGCCTGGCTGGTCAGGGCCTCCCTCCTGCTGGGGCCATGCGGAGGAGGACCGAGGAGCTCTGGCCAAACGGACCCCCTCGGACCGCCCAGAATCCTGCAGGACTTCCAAAGACGCTAAAGCATACAGGCGGCCCGGATTAGTAGGTCGACCCTGCCAGATCAAGGGTACCCTCGTGTCCCGTGTTTTGCGGCCCATGCCTCCTGCATTTCTGTGGCAGCGTGGCCCCCGGAAGGGCCTTGTGTCCTCTCGCGTGTCTTCTCCAATCAAGTCCGACTGTACCCCAAACCTCTTCGATCCTCGGCCCTCCCTGCCCAGGACGAGGTGGCGACCCTGCCTGGCTGCTCAGGACCTCCCTCCTCCCTGGGGCAGGTGGCCGACGCGTTCGTTCTGGGGCGGACGGGCTCGACGTGCGAGCCTCGGGCGGAGGCGGCGACCCCCCCTGTGGTGCCCCCCCCCCCCCTCGGCACCGCTTGGCTGCTCGGGGCCTCTCCTCCACGTCCTCCTCCTCCTCCTCTTCCTCCTCCTCCTCCTCCTCCCTCATGCAACTTGGGCTCAAGTCCATTTTGGCATGCAGCCCGCCCCCTGTGCGTGCACGAGGTGCTTGAGGCACTGCACCCACGCTCTCCCAGGGTAAACCGCTGGTGTCGACTAGAACAAAAAGGTTTTCCGCGCAACATGTCTCGCCCTTGATCTCGCTGTGCATGCAATCGCTGTGGATACAATGATGCGCTGCTGTCGCAAGACCGCGTATGCCAGGGTTGCAAGCGTCAGGTGAAACTGTACAAACCGCGCTTTTCCTCTTCCAAAGCCGACGCCGTCAATCTTGACTCGGGCGACCAGCTTAAGAGCGGCAAGGGCAAGGACAATGATACTAATACCAGTACACTTGTTGCGTCCTCGTTGGACGTTCCTGCCCTTTTCAAACTGGCTGTTAAGGCTACCGTGAGTTCTGATTTGAAGAAGTTGCTCCAGGGCGAGGTGGCCAAGCTCGAGCCTGTTGTGTCGGCGGGGGCCGACGGCCCCGCTGAGGCGCTTCGGCGCGCCGTGGGGGCGTGGAAGGACGCGGACCACAAACACGCCCAGGCGATCAGCAATGTCGTGAGGCTCCAGGCCAACCTCGACGTTGCGGTCCAGCGAGGGAAGGCAGCCGCCCGCGTGCTCGCTCAAACCGAGAAGGCGAAGAAGTCCGCACCGGCCGCCATGGCTTTCGTGGAGGGCGTCAGAGGGGACGAGAAGCGTGAGGAGGGCGAGGGGCAGAAGCTCAAGTTCTCCCCCACCTGGGATGGTGCTCTGTTCGATGGCCCAGGTGAGCTAGAATGTGAAGAGACAAAAAACGCGCTGATTTGAAGAAGGTTAAGACGGGTCTCGAGCATCTCCAGGCCCACCTGGCGGGCACGGAGGCCGAGGTCTCGGCCATGTTCGAGCAGGCGCGCTCCGTCAAGCAGGCCATCGCCGAGCGCATGAAGAAGAAGCGCAGGGCCGAGGCGAATGCCGCTGCAGGTGACGGAGCGGGAGGCGATCAGAGCGCCCAGGCCGCTGCTGAGGGCGCTGGCGGGGACGCTGTCCACAGTTCCTCAGCTGCGGAGGCGGCGGCAGCGG